AAACCTTCAATTGTATGAATGCTTCAAACTATCTTTAATATTTGATGTTAAGAAATATTTCTTTCTGTTGAGTCCTAGACCTTTTGTTTTTAATTCAAGCAATCAAACTGCTAAATTACTGTAATTATTAACAGCATAGGTCATTGATAATCAGCTGAATTTTAGAACTGCTTTGGGAAACCCTATTTTGTAATGAGACACATTACTTCTTGCATTATTGTATATTGTATATTGTAAGGTCAATGGGATAAACTGCTTGATGCACAGTAGATTTTATAGTTGCACTCACTATTGTATAAATAATTCTATTGTTATAATAAAGTATTACTTTTGACTTTGTGTATAAATAGTGTTTTCTAATTCTTTGACTCATCAGATTATAATTAAACTTTTCAAAAAAATAAAATAAATTTGCCAGTACTCTCAGGAATTGAAAACATGATAAAATCTCAATTTTTGCCTTTTGAGTTTAGTGGTTACTGTAAATATCATTAAAAAATGTCCAATTTTAAAAAAAATTTGGAGACCTGAAGAAGTTTTGGTGCCAATTGAAATTAAAAATTTGAATTAAACTCAAAAAATTTCATAGCAATGGGTAAAGTCATTCCTGATGCAAAAAGTATAAGAAGTAATAGTGAAGGGTCAAGTGACAGAATCAAAAATCAAAAGAAAACTTCCCAGGACATTTCATCAGTAAGCAATTTATTTTTAGTTTTTTACAGTATACTATTATATTGATTGAAATTAGACTTGCATTAACATGATAAACATCCCTAAGGATGAAGTACTATGAAAACAGTTGATACAAAATGTTCATCAAGAAAAGTGGTCACCCAAAAAGCAGATGTTTATATGTTCTGACCACTTTTGTTCTGGTTGCATTGTCCATACTGTTCTGTTCTCAGAAGCAGACACTTATATGCTCTGACCACTTCTGTTCTGGCTTCATTGTTCATTGTCCATATGTTCTGGCTTCATTGTCCATATACAATCTTTTTACTGAGCTAGATCACCATATTTTTGACTCACCAGTTGGTGAAAATCATGTTATATTTCAGTTGACCAAGAGCATCATCAAGAGTTACTGTGAGGTTAAATTTACCATCTTGGAAAAAAGACCACTGAGAATTCATCTGGACAAAAAATTAGAAAGAAATTAAATAAACTTGTACCTTTTAAGCACCAGTGTGAGTGATTACACAGAATGTATCAGAGAAAGCTAAATATTACTAAAATTTACTATGAAACTGCCCAAGCTGAAAGTGCAGACTCTGCCTCAAACATAATTTTACTAAAGATTTATAGTGAAAACTGCCCAAGCTGAAAGTGCAAACTCTGTCTCAAACGTTTCACTAAAGATTTAGAGTGAAAACTACCCAAGCTGAAAGTGCAGACTCAGACTGTCTCAAACATTTCATTACAGTGAAAACTTTACAGTATAAACTGCCTACGCCGATAGTCGAAACGTTACTTACCAACTTCCATTTCCATAAAGTGGTGCCAGAAACCGTAAGTACATGTATTGATTAGACGATACTTCACCAGAGAATCACTCACAGATTCAAAACAAGTATATAAAGCCAATGTCGTAATTCGAAATTTTTAGCTTTAAAATGCGATTCAAAGACAACAACATCGCCAATTAATGTTTTTTTCTTGTACCCTTTTCCAAAAAAGCTGCGATTTCAAGGCGAACGTACCTCAAAAAGGTATTTTTAATCCAGAAATGCAAAAAAGGCGCCTCGAAAAGTATAGTATTTTCTATAGCATTTCATTGATGAGTGGGAACGACCAATATGGCCGCCGCCTATTTTCATGGGGGAAACCGCTGAGATTTTTGGCTTCAGTTTTGTATTCCGAGATGCGCTATCTAGTGTATATGAGATATCTATGATTCTAACAAATCAGCCCTTGTCAACACGAATTTGTGGCAGGAAAATTGTGCGTAACGCAACTTATTGAAGTATTTGAACAGATAGGGCGCAAATTGAACAATGGTGGACAAATAGACGTGATTTATTTAGATATGTCGACGGCATTCGATAAAGTAAGTCATACTAAGCTTCTTCATCGACTACGCGAATTTGGGTTTCGAGGAAACATCCTGAACTGGTTCTCATCGTATCTCAGTAATCGTCGTCAGCAAACAACGGTTCATGGAGCAACATCAAGACCTTTAGCCGTAACATCCGGAGTGCCGCAAGGTTCGATACTTGGCCCATTGTTGTTCCTATTGTACGAAAACCACCTCCCCAACACCGTGAACAATTCAGCTATCGCCACCTTTGCGGATGATACGAAGATCTTCAGAACCATAAGCTCCACATCCGATGCATTCTCGCTACAGGAAGACCTTACGAACTTTGAAGTGTGCTCCAGCAATGTCAACCTGGAACTTAACGCTGAAAAGTGCAAAATTCTAAGAATTACCCGAAAGCAGAAGAAGATAGAATACCTTACAAACTTCAGAACAATGTCTTAGAAAGCACCGAGTTTGAACGCAATTTGGGAGTGTGGACTACATCTAACCTTACCTGGTCAAAACATGTTGAATGTCAATGCACACAAGCAAGTACGATGTTAGGATGTATAAGAAGAGCAACACTTGACATAAAAACTACCTCCGTTCGTCGCACCCTGTATTTGTCCGTTCCCAAATATGCTATGCATGGCTCTCAAGTCTGAGCTCCCCAATCAGTCAACTTGATCAGGCGCACGGAAAGAGTAGGCCTACAACGGCGAGCAACTAAGTACATTCTGGATCTTCCTTTCTTCTGTGAGGTCAGTTACAACCAGAGACTTGATATGCTAGATATGATTCCTGTATGTTACTGGCACGAATTTCTTGATATGATTTTCTTTTTCAAATGCACTCATGAGATGATAGTCATTAACAACGACCTACTACCAACAATCCAGAATAGAGAAAAAGCTACAAGATCTGCTGATCCGAACTGTTTGATGTTTACAACAAAAAAATGCAAGACCACAACATACCAGAAGTTATTCCTGACGAGATCAACGAGAGTGTGAAACATTTTACCAAAAGACTTGACAGATAAAAACACTACATTTAACGGATTTAAAAGCGGACTTCTCAAACACTATAAATCTGCCTTACGAAATGTTTACAACGCAGAGGATCCTCGAACTTGGAAATCTATATGTTTGTCTTGTAATTTATTATTATTTTATTATTATTAAAACTTTATTTACACACGGTATTCTCATCAGGATTTAACATGCAACAAACTAAATTAGATAAATTACAAAAGTAGAACCACGCTAAAGTAAATAGAAAATATAATACCTGCTTTGTAACCTGTCTTGTCGCATATCGTGCTGTTCTTAGTTTTTTTGAGAAGAAGAAGAATTCTCTGTCAATCTGTGAGCTGTGTTTAAAACCAGCTTGAATATTAAACAACGATTAAAATATAAATATTCTGCATGGTACGAATTTAGTAAGCTTGAATATACAGAAACTTTTGTATAAGGAGAAATTGGTGGGGTATTCTGCTTTTAACCCCCGATATTTCAAAGTTTGTTTGTCTTGTATTGGTGTAAAGGGTCGCTGTAATTGGCGAAAGCTGTAGCGTATACCCAGCCATGTCAATGTATGTATCGTTTAATGTATGTATAGCAAGTGATTTTAAGTTGATTTGGCAAAGCCTAATAAATAAATAAATAAATAGATATACCATTTGTAAACAATGTACGTTTTATACAGAACTGTACGGGCTAATGATATATGTATATCCGTTTTATTTAATAAATTATAATTGTATATGTGTTTGTATATTTTACAAAAACCAGACTGCTTCTTGCCAAAATTGAGAAAATATATATTAATGTAGCCGAAAGATTCTACTGTTGGTATATATTTTGACCCATTTTGTGCTTTCGCTACACCTTGTCAACATAATAATAGTGTTGCTTCAAACTTTATGATAAAACCCCGATTTTCCAGGCGTGTATACAAATAAAAATAGTAAGTTTATACTCTGTATAAATGAGTTTATTTTACCTGTATCGGTTTAAATTCGCTGTTTAAAAGTTGCAAATAATTCTGTTTGAGAACGCAATAATTGGGCATTTCACAACCAGGGCAGTTTCAGGGCAGTTTCGGCCTTGTTGTTGGGAAATCCACTAGGCCTTCTATATTTTCGCTTGCGTCAGGCTTGCTTCCTTCCTCCGCCCCGCCCCCAAATCACCTAGTCCCAGTCTTTTCATGTGATAAAGTGCTGAATATTAAAAAAATACTGATAAATAAGGCCTAGCCTAGGCTGGCCACCAATATTTCTAGTGGGTCTTCAAAAGTGGACATATTTTGCATCAAATGCATGATGTTTCATGTATACGTGGAAGCACAAGTATTGAAAGGCCTTCGCTTCGGCAGTCTGCTTATATAGCAGAAGTTTTCAAAACGATTTGGTGTTCTAATCTGCGGGTTTTTTTGCATTGATTCGTGCGTTTTTCACTGAATGGACTTTGGCCACTGACAGTTCTATATTTTTATAAAGTTTTGGTTTCTTAGTCTTCCTAGACTTAGTATAATAAATCTGTGTATACAGTCTATATAATGTGGTAAATGCGCTTAGCAGTAAAGTGAGTAAACAGACTTGATATGAAATCTAAAAGGCGAAAAAATCGTATTTGTAAGGCCGATTTCGAAAGTTTTTTAGTGTGTGAGTTTATTTTCACTCTTGCTGGTATCCCAAAGCGAATATAAGAATGTCTGGTTGCCGGTTGAGAAGAACGTGGAAGGATATAATTATGTTATTGCCGATATATCACTCGCTCGACAAAACATTATAAAAATGGTAAAGAGTGACAATTACTAATCATCAAACGATTTATACGCAGCAAGTCCTTGTTTATCATATCCAAATAGTTAAAAATGTCGTATAAACCAAAGGACGGTGAATCTGTGAAGTTTACAACATCATATAACAATGGCTGCTCGATTACCATATTATCATGAATAATATATTTTTCTCCTGCGATTTCTGCATTTCCATATTCATGATTTGTGCCAATAAGTTATGGAACGCCATGTGTCCAAAAATTATTTAACGTTAATTATATCATATCATGACTAAAATTGTCATTATGTATAAATAATTGATAAACCAACAGACATTATATCAAATCATGACTTGTTCGTTTTTGTCATTATTTGATATAATGTTATTAACATTAAGCATTATATCATATCATGAACTTCCGAAAAGTCATGATATGTGATATCAA